TGAGTCGAGACCTGTCTGTGTGGCCCTGAGAACGTGCCTTTTTCCCCCCCCCCCCCCAGCTCCAGGGGCACCACGTGATGGCTGACCCTGCACTGTGACCCCCCCCAAATCATGGAAAGCAAGAAGGGGTAGGCGAAGAGAAGCATTCCAGTGTACTTACACTTGTGGAAATGGCAAATAAAAGATTTATCATTTACTGCTTCTTGTTTCATGTGTGCTCTGTACCAAAGTAGTTACTCATATGTAAATGTTGTTTGCACATACCTGGACACTGATGATCTCTCTATGCTTTTTTCCCATAGGACATCAAGCCAGCAGATTTGCCACGTTTTCCAGTGTTATGCCAAGTATACAAATTTGAGTCTGGTTAACTGGATTTGATAAGTCTGCACAAGGGAATCTGCATAGTGTATGACTTGCTGTACCATTAGCAAGAAGTTTGCATTTTTTTTTGCTTCAGAACCATACCAGCAAAGGCCTCCAACCAAGCCTTTTGGAGTCAGTCACTCAAATACAAATACAAATTATACAGTTTTATATTATATATAAATTTATTTATTGAATTTATATATAATATAAAATTGTATACTGAGCTTTACACTCTTAACATGCCATTTCAAATGACTAGTTGTCTGAAAACAGGAAATGGAAATTCATCTGGCTTCAACCCCAATAAAAGGTAAGCTAAAACAGTTTTATGAGTAATACCGTGGTTATCCTAACTGCTAACATACCAGCGAGGCTAAGTGCGGGAGGTACCACGCTGACACGCAAAAATTCCAATTATATCAGTTTCTTTTATTTTCAGATACAAAATGTCCTTTAGATCCATTTTACGATAAACCACATCATATGGATCAAACCATGCAGTGTCAGGTATCGGCCACATAAAAACATTGCAGAAACTCCTTTTATTTCCTGCTGTTGCTTGAAATCCTGATGGTTCTGAATGGTCTCAGCAAGGTGGTGATGTGAAATCATACATGAATTTTGTACATTTGTCCCTCTTCCTGTTGCTTATCCTGATCAGGGTGTGAGGGGAATGTCAGATAGCACAGGGCGCAAGGCTGGGCTGTATGCTAGACTTGCTGCCACACTATCACTGGGTGCACAGTCTTACAGTACATAATATGCCCATAAATTGTTTGGTCCCTGATGGAGATAATAGTGCTGCATTGTCTTGCTGTCTGTAAAATCGTCGTACAATTTATGAGATGTTATGTAGGTGTGCTGACTACAAGCATATAATCATTTTTATATTTTCATTTTAGGCTCAACACACAGAAGAATGGGAAGCATGAAGAGTACGATCGTAAATTGGTGGCAGATCCCCATTGTAAATTGGTTGAAGAATTCTTTGAGCAAAGTAAGTCTAAGGAGACCACTAGCAATGTCTTGTACAAGCATAGTTGCAGCAAAATGATGAACAAACAGCAAAGTAATTCTTGTATTACAGAGCAGACATACACTGGGTATTGAAAAGCAGCTCACATATAAATAAAGGACAGTTCTCAGGCTCTTCACACATGCAGGAGATCACTCTTCATTTGCAGATTGATTATTAGAACCTGTACACAAAGGTACCTTGTTTGGGAGTGGTGCGTGAAGCACTGCACTTTATTTGTATTTCAGTTGCCTTTCAATACCCAGTGTATGCCTGCACTGTATCACATTAATTATTTTGCGGTTCAGTAAATCATTCTGCTGAAACTATGTTGGTGCGAGACTTTACAAGTGGGCTTCATAGAGTAAGTAATGAGCAAGATGGAAACTGTTGGTGATCTAATTATCTCCTTGTTGTACAGGGTCAAATGTGATATTGGATAGGATTTACCAAGTGCTGTCACTCCACTCGATTTTAACCTAATCTCTGCTGGATTAAACTAGACAGTGATTGACAGCTCATCTCACTTCTCACCTATTTGAGTATCAATGCTTGTTTCTTCCTTCACTAACAAGGCTTCTGTTTACAGTCAGAGACTCGAAGGAGCTTCCTGAGCTAGTGAAGAAACACAGTGGGTTTGAAATTAAATTAAAGGAACCAAAAGGCTATGCAGTCAGAATCACAGATCTGGATGGAACCGTCTACTGGGGA